GGGGGGGGGGGGGCCTTCTCATCCTGGTCAAACTTTAGTCACCTGTTTTTGCAGTTTCATTTCTTCGATTTGTTTATTCGATCGAAAAAAAAAAAATGAGAGAGAGAGGAGAAGAATCCATAGGGAAGAAGAGGCTAGATCATCATTTGGGAAAAGGGAAGGTAATGGAGAGGCATCAATGCTTTTAGCTCCCAGCTTACACGACAATATCTCAAGAATGGACTATTACTAGCTGAACCAACTGCGAACCAAGTGTTGAGTCAGTAAACCTTTGGCTCTTGAAAATCACAAAACATTCTCAACACAGTCTTTATAATTTCTCTTCTATAATCTCAGTTCCTAGAATTTTTGAAGCAAAGAAAGATATCAATGAAAAGTTTAACATGGAGCAAGAGAAGAACAAGATAATAATACCAAAAAATGAAAGCACGGAAATGAAGGTGAGGTTGTATCAAAAATGGAAATCAAACTCTTTCTTCAACAAATGCACATAAGCCAGAGAATGGCAAGCACCACCAACAATGATGCAAACAACATTTAGTTTAACCAAAAGCATCTTTCCACAGACCGGTCAAGTTGGGGGAAGAACCCAATTAGCAACCAATCAGACACAAAAATGTCGAGCTGACAGGGTCAGGTATCACAGCAATAACCATATAAAAAATGAACGCTCTTTTAGTCCCTTTGCTTTAAAGTAGCATATGTTTCAATGTTCTTCCTATTTCCAAAATATAGTATCTCATTTTCTCAGCCAATCCTAGAAACCGAAGCACGAGCTACAGCTATTCCTTACCAGCAAAAGATTTCATTTCCATAGCTAAATGCAACAGAGACACAAAAAGAACATAAAACTAGCTTTGATCAAGGGCATTCACTTGAGGCACAAAATCCGTACCAAATTCCTAATTAAGCAACTATTAGCATAATCCAACAGCAAATTCACTAAATTTCCCCGTATATCTCAAAACCCTAAAGATCAACTAGCATAACTAACCAAAAACTTTCACCTTATATTACATAACTAGGGGGAAAAAATAAACAGCACCTTAGCAGAATTGGGAGCGATCACAGGATCAGAATGGGTTCCATTAGATGGGTCTTGATTAGCAGCATAGTCTTCATAAGAACACAAAATACCATCCGACCCGAAATTAAAACCCGCATTGTTTGGTCTCCCCGATGAGCCAGATGCCATTTTTCAACGATCCAAAACCTAGGGTTTCGCTTCTATTATCAAATTAACCCAAAAAAATAACCTAGAAAAAGGGATAAAGTTTGTTTCTGGGTAGAGAGATAGAGGTATATTTTGGGAATAGTATAGTTGCTTTAGCTTCACTGCTAAACAGGAAGGTCCGTCGTACTGTAATTTGTAGATTCGTACAACTACTACTGCACTTCGTATTTATTCATACTTGTACTTATATTTATTTTTCTGTTCACATTCTTTTCATATATGTTTTGACTTTTTTTATTTTTTTCTTACCGTGAAAACTATGGTTTGCTGAAATTAAGAAAACAAAGAAAGAAATAGGTTAAATATTAGGATAAGCCTAATGACCGACCTCGGAAAATAAAAATGACCGACCACGACGATTATGTGGTAGGTTATATGTTTTCTATATTATTATTACTACTATTAGTACCCGCGCGGATGCGCGGACACTAATCATGTTAAATATTTAAGTTATTTGGATTTTATTTAAATAATCTTAAAATTTACACTTTCTCGAGAAATATAGATAATCATTGGATATTAACGACATGAAAAAAATCAACCATTTCTTCTATTTTTCTTTTTTGATATCATTCTTGCCGGTGTCATTGGATCCTAAAAATAGTCGGGAAGCAAAATAATAACTCATACTTATGGCAAAACAATTAAATGTTGAGACAATGAATGACTTTTGGATAAGACTTAACTCTTTTACTACTACTTGAACTCTTATTTGGTGTGTTGATATCTCTTAAAAATTATTTCTTTCTTAAAATTTCAATTTTTAAAGCATTATTTTTCAATAATAATTATTTTTATAATAATGTAATTGAAAATATTATTCTTAATTCAAAACTCATTTTAGTTAGCTATCTAAAAATATAAAAAATTCTTTAGCTAGTGATTTTTTTTACTCCATTTTGATATTTGATATTAACCATGTTAAATATCTGAGTTATTTGAATATGTAAATAACCTTAACATTTAAACCTTCTAACTAATTATAGATAATCGTCATATATTAATTAAGAAACACTACATGAAAAAAGACTAACATTTTCTCAATTCTCGTAGTGATAATTTTATTTTTGCACTATTCTCATAGGTGTCATTGGAACCTAAAAATAGCCACAAAGTGAAATAATAACTCATATTTATGGAAAAGCACAAAGGTTGACACGATATAAACGATTCTTTGATTACGACGTGACTCTTACATTAAGACTTGAATTCTTATTTGGTATGATTTTATCTTTCAAAAATATTTCTATTTTGAAATTTCAATTTCTAAAACTTTATATATATTATAATAATGAGTATCTTTATAATGATGCAAGTGAAAATATTATCCTTAATTTAAAATCCACTTTAATTGTCTATCTAAAATTTTAAATGATTCTTTGACCGGATTTATTTCAGTATGACTCCATCTTAAGTTTATCGATATCTCTAGCCACGGAATTTGAATTTTTAATACCCTATATACAAAAAATTTGTTCTTTGAATCATTAAATGTTAAATTAGTTAATTATTATTATAAAATATTGCATATCTTGTCTTAAATTGTCAAATAGTTTAATTTTTCGACATCATACTTAGCTTAACCTCAATGCAAACTACTCAAATTACATTCCAATTCAAATTCGAATATCATATCAGTTTGTTAGTAATAGTGAATTTTTAAAAATGACACATAATATAAATTAAAAAAAATATTCTAAGATATCCTTATCTTATAATCTATGTATTTGAGTTGAAAAAAAAATATTTGAAATTGATGAGATTAACTTTCAAAATTTTTATACTCAACAAAGATGAAACATAAGAAGAAATTTATTGTCATCTTTTATGTCACGCCCCAACTTCGGGAGGCGCGACCGGCTCAGTCGAGTGATCCCAACTGAGCAAGCCTTATCAAACACTACCTGCCCAACTCAATATGAATAATAAAACCATGCTTCCGTTTATTTAAACAAGGGAAGATAGTACATCCCACATTACTAGTTCATTTTAATCACCACATTAAACCGTAAATGAGTTCCGAGATTCCATATATTTATACTTTAGAGAAACAGGAGTTAGAATTACAACATAGTTAGTACACCCATCCAACACCCGCACATGACCCACACATATGTCTACGGAGCCTCTAAGAATACAAAAGATAAATGTGACAACGCCGGCAACAAGGCCCCGGTTATACCTCAAAAGTGAAGGTCTACAATAAAAAGAGGTGCAATATGGCCCCTTGAAGGAGGAAAGGGCTCACCAAGTTCTTGAGAAGAAGGATGCTCCACTACACACGATCGGCACTATCCGCAATGGAGCCACCTACACTCATTTAAAAATGTAGCACCCCCAGCAAAAGGGATGTTAGTACCATAGAATAGTACTAGTATGTATAACTAAACTCCATCTAGTTAGAAAGAACTATACAAGAATAGGAATTCACAAGTACACAAATATAACTCAAACTTCGAACGATTACCGCATTATCAGTCAAAAGAATTGTACAACTTTCACATCGTTTTTCCATAGCTTTTAGTTTGGGGCATTCCATACTATTCGCATTTATTTCCAATACCACCGCTATATTGAGCGGAGTCCGATCTCGATCCGATCGGCTAGGTTGCCTCATTCGAGACATACACTCCAATCACAATCTCGTTTTCCTTTTTTCCGAAATTTATTCACAATACCACCGCTATCTTGAACGGAGTCCGATCTCGGCACGATCGGCTAGGCCGCCTTGCCAAGGCGTTGTTCCCTTCTCAGTAATCATTTCATTTCACATATATCATTTCATAGGCACTTGGGCCCACCACTTATCACATCATTCATGGCACTAGGCCGCATTTTACATTATTCCCAATTCCAATATTAGCTTTGCCATTTAGGACAAAAGGTGCACACAAGAGCAACTTTAAATTGTAAGCATGGATATGACTTCACATAGATAGCACAACATATTCAACCGCAATCTCGATTTAGGGTCTAAACATTTCAATACATAATTCATACCTTTGCCCTTTTCAAGTTGTCAAGATAGCACATTGATCATGTTGAGACACATTTTTCACACATAAGGTTACAACACTAATTCATGTAAAATAACAAGCAATGCAACAATTCAACTTTAATCTTACCATGTTCATATAATCACCGATGAATCTCAATTTCTAAAAGATCGGGTTTTAGCCATACATGCCTCAACCGAGCTTTCCTTAATCCTATAACATTCCGGAATGTTCGCACTTCAATCTATTTAAGCAACATAGCACAATTTAACTTATAATCAAGAAAAGATCATAATCTAAGCTCTCTTGAGCATTTTACCGAGCAGTTAGTGTTCATTAAGGCCTTATGGTTCTTTTATGAAAGATTACACTAGCCCATTACCCATGCCTCTTCTTTTATAATTCCTCATACTCTTCAAGAACACATGAATGCAATGTAAACCCCCTTACCCCCATGAATTACCTCATTAATGACCCTTTGTAGCTATGTGTAAAAATGAGAGCTGAGGTGATGAAGCCTTACCTCTTGGGATGAGGGTTTAGGTCCCTCACTTGATTATCCTCAATGATTTACCAAGGATTCATGGAGTAATTTGATGGGAAGCACTTCCCCTCTCTTAGACCCTCCTCTCTATCTCTAAAAATGTCAGGAAATGGGCTCAAAATGAGCTATTGCATAGGATATAACGACAGGGAGTCGGGTTTAAAATTTAGAAAACTGGAGCTCCGACTCGGATCTATGCGATCGCAAAGCTGACATGCCGCCGGCATAATGGACTGCAAAAATGCTCCCCAAAACCTGAACACACTGTCTGGGTATGCGGCAGAAATGCGGTCTGCATACCCGTTCTACGGTCGCATAATGCACAGCAGAACTGCCCCTTACAAAATCCCAAGGGAAAATATGCGACGACTATGCGGTCCGCATATTGGTTATGCAATCGCATACTCGACCACATAGTCGACCTCAAATTTGACCAACACACTGACTCATTTTGCGGCGACTATGCGGCCCGCATACCTGTTATGTGACCGCATAATCACACTTTTCTGGAAAACATTATTTCTTGACTTTTTTGTGCATAGATCAGTCCAAAAAGGTCCGAACTACGCATCTCTAACACATGATCCTAATTGCCACTACAAGCTTTCGGGCTTAGAGTGAAAATTTTCACGGGGCCTCACATTTTATTTCTCGCTTTTAGATTTTTGTAACATTTTTTCAATATATATTTTCTTTTATCTTATTTTTTATGTCATTATTAATTAATTTATTTCACTATAAAAGGATGAGTTTTAATAAAAATTGTCTTCATATGAACTTTAATTATATTTTTAGTCTTTAGTTGAAATTATTTCATATTTTTCTTTTGCTTTATCTAATCAGCCTAAATAGGTGCTCACCCGACCACTTAAATTAAAAAATTGAATGATGTGTAATTTATATATAATCCATATATAATATGTGTATAATCGTGTGTTGTCGGTTTATCATCTATTTATATTAGCTATAAAAAGTAAACAATAAATATGACCGGATATTATGTAAATATTCTATAAGATTTCAGTTTTTTGAGTTTATCCATTATATAACTTCTATTATAATAATTTTAAAACTATATCTTATATTTTTATTATCTTTGAATTAAAAAAAAAAGTAAAGAGTTTTTTCGAAATGATTTGTTTACATTTTAAAAAACATATTTCACGTCATACCAATTTTTTCTTTATATATACTATTTGTTACACTTAAAAGTCGCTATAGAAACTATCAATTAGAAACCAATTTATCTCTTGTTGACTTTAAAAAAAATCTTTTGCATAATCTAATGATTCAAAACTAATATTATTCAACGAAAAAAATATTATACCCTTGCAATATTGGCTTGACTACAGCTAAATGAAGGGGTTTCAGCTTATACCCTTCAATTCCTTGAATGTGCTAAATTGAAATTAATGATAGCAATTGTATAGCCAAAGTTTTGTTATTTGTTTGATGTCCATTTATACAAATTGACTCTTCAAACAAATTCTTCAAGAAGAAAAAAGAAACAACTTTTTTTTAATATTGACTGATTTTGTGATGTTTCTTTCTTCGGCATGTATGTTTACTTTATTATATATATAAGTAAGCTTTTATTTGATTTTGTAAACTTTTTTTTT